CCCCCCCCCCCCCCCCGAAAGTGCAGACACTGCCTACACCAGCCCCGTCTCTGCCAGCTGAGTACGCCGAGAACCTTTTATCCGGATGCGAGGTGTAAGCTTCAGGGCCTCGGGTTTTGGGTTTAAAGGGGTTCAGGGTTGAGGGTTTAGGNNTTAGGGGTTTAGGGGTTGAAGGTTTAGGGGTTCAGGGTTTAGGGCTTTGGGGTTTAAGGCTTAGGGATTTAAGGTTTGGGGTTTAGGGTTCAGGGTTAGGGCTTATTAGGGCTTAAGGCTTCAACCTTCGAGGGCCTACGGTGCGAGGCAGCTTGTGGGGTTTAGGGAACGGCTGGCACGGCCGGGACTCGGGTTAAGGGTTTAGGGTCGAGGGTTTAGGGTCCCTTCTGCAAGCAGCAGGTTGACAAGAAACTTAGCAGAAGCAGCAGTGGTTACCCTAACCCTAAACCCCAGCTCTGAACACTACCTACCCTGGCCTACGATAACCTGAAGCCTCCAGCGATATTTTGGAAAGCATGGACGAAGGAACCTCTCCAGTGTCCTCGTGCTGGAGACAGGGTGCCAGAACGATAGTGAAGTCCACCACGCTGCAGTATGCAGGAATGCTTTTTACAGCCAAGTGCAGGGATTGCACATCAAGCTGCGGGATGCTGAAGTAGTCATACCAGTAATCCCATTGCAGGCAAGCCCTCTGCTCCTCTGCAGAAGGCATCGCTAGCTCAATGCCGGGTCGATGGCCTACCCCGCCAGCAGTGAAAGCATCCACAATCATGGAAGCTTTGCCTCGTGTTGGAGCTGAGGGTGTTTGCGGAGATTGAGGGATGTCGGCGTTTGGGGGACTGGGGGTTAACCTTCAGGCTTGAGGGCTCACGGTTTTTTTACGGCTGCCATGCGCATCCAAGACTCTGAGAGAAACGCTTAAATAATTCGGGTTGGCGCGTGGGCGCAGTCTCCAGATGCTTTTGGAAGCCCGGGTATAGGGTAAGGGCTTGCTTAAGGCCTAAAAGGTCCTTACGATGATCCAGGGCGTTGTACTCCACGTATTGTTTGAGTATCTGCAGGGCTTCGGCAGTTACTAGCTCCAGCCAATACCTTTGGGGGTGTCCTCTTC